ATATATATATATATTTCCTTCCAGAATTCAGTACTTCTGATTTTATCAATTGGTGGGTCATCCGTAATAAAACAAAGACAAAGAGAGAGAAAGAGAGAAACACACGCAAACCCCTCCTTCAATTTTTAGTTTTGACAATCTCTGGCCTTATCAATTCTTCACATGCCAGAGGTAACGACGAAAACAAGAGATTCTAGCAAAAAAAGTAATAAAACAAAGAAACAAACAAGAAAAAAAAAAACACAAAATAAAATTTTGGTTCGACGGTAATGGAGGTACATACCACCACTACATTCGGTACCAATGGTTGTCACACGACAAACAGAGTGGAGATGAGGACATCCTCAAAACTCCTTTAAGACATTTGCGCAGATGATTTATTATTGAAAAAAATTTATCCCGTTATAGTGCCTCTACACGCTCAGATAATAGTGTTTTTTCTTTATTTTTCTTTTTCATACCTTTAACCATGGTACTCCATGCATCGCGCTCAAACACTTCACAATTAAATCACCAAAACGAAGAATCCAGATTCATCATCTTTCTCATATCTACAGAGTGGGTGATCAGTGAATAATAACAGTTACCTGTGGGATACATATCAAAAGAAAAGTGAATGACATCCTATACAAGCCAACCCATCATGTAGAGACGTGAAAAAAAAAAGAAAAACATAGAACATAAAATTTTAAAAAGGGAAAAACACAAAAAAAGGTTTTTTTTTTTTTTTTTTTTTCTTACAAGAGAATAAGACACTATTATCCTTGCTTTTTCAGTTACGGGGTAAGTGCATTAGGACACGTACTTTTTTCTGGGTCTTCGGAGTTATCTCCTTGAAGTGGTTCCTCTCCAGATGTCACTGCTTTCCCACTGCTTAATTCGTCTTCAGGTAAAGTACTGCTTTTCTTGCTCTTAATGCTTGGCTGTTTTTCTGGCACTTCCGCTGAAAAAGACTCCATTGCCCCCGATAATTTTGCCTGTACGTAGCGACGGTATCGAATGTGCAGCCATCCAGTCAGTATCAGCCCCAAAACCGTAAGTGAAAGCATAATAATAAATACGTCACGAACGCAAATGCGTCCATGACATTTACCGCCCTCTCCCACAGTAGCCACATCAACATACCGATCATAGAGCTCACCAAAGGTGAAACGGTTAAGAATGAGAATCGCCAGCATAGTAGCAACAGACATAAGATTGTAGTGTTTTGCCACATCACGTGAGTAGAGCGTACGTACTGTTAATGCTATGGCCGCAGCATAACAACCATTCGCAAAGCCGTTCAAGAAAAATGGGACAGCCAAACCATTAGGAGGTACTGTCAAGAAGAGAATGTATTCGATTATCATGAGTACTGGGGCAACGAAATATGAAGTGGTGATAAGAGTACGTTCCTTGATAGCACCGCGTTGTGTACGTACTTCATAAAAACTCATTAGTATTCGCCCAAGGCCACTGCCAAGACCATGCAAGGAAACGTACAACGTGTTAAGACGCTCATCAAAGCTCTCGGCGATAGCCTCGTAGATCTGTGGAACATTATCATTCACCACAAGTTCTGCTCCCTCCACACAGAATCCAACGAAGAAAAGAATCCATAGATCTGGTGTGAGAAGGTTCCGCCAGAAAGAAGTAACATACGGCGGAGAAACCACCTCTGTAATGCGCTCCCGTGCCAGTTTCTCTTTTCTGAACGTACAAGATGCAAACGGTAGCGGAATCAAGATACCAACCGTAGAAGCCACAAGAACAATAGTCACAACGGCGACAGCAATACGTGTTTCTTGGTTAACGTTCACGAAAGCAACCACAAAATTGACGGAAAAGAGAATCACAAGAATTAGCAAAACCACGACCAAACCGTAATAGAAGCGATATATTGGAGGTTTCTGTAACAAAAAAACATCTTCTGTGCGCTCCAATTCTTCTTTTTTTTCCTTTGAATAGCGCCACCTTTGCCAACCCACAAGATGGTACGGTGGTAGTTCCTGAAGTATGAGGTTCATACCGCCAAATACGAACACAAAAGCCGTCAGAAAAAAATAAAAATCTGTGTATTTTCCCAGGAAGAAACACACATATATAGTTGAAAGAATAGAACTTCCAAGTCCTGTCATTGTCTTTAGAAGACCCACAACGTGTCCACGGTTACGTGGGAACCACGTGAGCACCGTAACAAGTGAACCCAAATCAAAGGTTGTGCATCCAATGTTCATAATGGCGTAAAAAACAGAGTAATTTACAACAGTTCCCTCAATATGATCAAGAAACGTAAACGCAATGAGTAAAGTACCCAGGCAAAAGAAAACAACGGATATACACAAAACTGGCTTGGGTCCGGCGAAATCAAACAGAGCGCCATAGGGCAGTAGAAACTGTCCAAACATAGAACCAACTGTAGTTATAGTTGTTAGTTCTTTTTGTGAAAAGTTGTGACGCTCACGAATATAGGCCCCCACCAAACCAAAGCCAAACATTGCCGATACACATATACCGGCGAAAAGTGCTGCAAATAGCAGAGTGAAACGATGGAACTCACTGATAGGTTTACCATGAACAACTTCGGGACGAGTAACATCCTCACTGGTGACTTCGGTATCACCATGAAATGATGGTATGGAGGAAACCTCCTCCTCGAACATTACTTCCTCACGCATTTGAAACAAAGAATGATGAAAAAACCTTGGCCCTTTGCAAAAACAGAGAAAAGGACTGCCTTGACTGTTCTATATTGGCAAAAGTATCAGCATTATTAGCATCATAGGCGTTCAACGAAAAAAAAAGTAAAAAAAAAAAAAAAAAAAACAAGAAAACAAACTATACTCTCACATTCCCTTCTCTCCAGATAAAAAGACATCAAAATACGCCGCGTCACAATTGCACATTGTCTAAACCCTCTGAAACTAATGTATTACCTACCCAAACCATTTTGACATTGAACCTATGGGGAAGAGAAATAATCGCGAGATGAGCTTATATATATATATTCCAAAAAGCAAATGTAACTTCTCCCATTTATAATCATCTCATCAACCACCATCTCGCCCTGTACACTCCGACTCACCTACTTGTTTTCCTTCTCAAAAGTAAGTGAATTGAGTCACAATATCCGTCTTTTTTAGGTGTCTCACGTACGATGACCCCCACGCAGTCTGAAGATCACCCACTCAGCCATCAAACACATATACAGAGAAATGTGTGCATCTATGGAGAACCCAGGGAAACGTAAAATGGGAGAAAAGAAATAATGAAGGGAAAATGGACGAGTAGGGGATCGAACCCTAGGCCTTCCGTATGCGAAACGGACGCTCTACCACTGAGCTACACGCCCCATGGCCGTTCATATGAACGACACAGCTGCAAAAGAGGCGACGACGGGGTGGGGGGTCATCAAAGGAAAAAAAAGATCCGAGAAAGGAAACGTAATGTTTTTAATGTTGCAGTCCAGAAATAATAATAATAGTAATATTAATAGTAAACATGGGAAGGTTCATGCCGAGAAGGGTATAGCGTGTCAATTCCTTCTCCTTGTATAATACACATAACCATTTTTTCTCTTTCCCTAAAATGTGCAAAAAAAATAAAGAGATGCACAGATTCAAAAGAAAAAAGAAATAAAACCGAGGACGAAATTTAAAAAAAAAAGAAAAAAAATACATCACACTGTCGCCTTGGTCTCATACCATTCAACTCCCTGCGTTACGAGCACACACACGCACACACATACATACAAACCGTCTATCATTGAAGAAAAAGAGAAGAGGAAAACGAAAACAAAAAAAAAAGAAAAAAGAGAAACGGGCACAGGACCATTCTCCTCTTTCTTCTTACCGTGAGTAAAAGGAAGAGAAATCAAAAAGAAAAGTTCTCTGCTCCCATCGCCCATGGAAATTTTTTTTGAATAGTTGCTGAGAATATCTTCCCGATGGGCACGTTTTGTTCCTTGGCCCAAGAGCAGATGATTCGAGGGTCAATGTAGTTAATTTTGCTAGTGCCTAGAGAGACAGCTTTATTGTCATCCTTTATCCTGATCATATTTTCCTCACGGTTAAGACGCTCCTCGTACCTCTGAAGTGCCGCGTCAATATCGCGCGGGAAGGAACGGAATACAGGCGGTCGTGGCGGTGGCCCGACAGGTGCCTCTTCTTCCTTTTCCTCTTCTTGAGTTAGGTTTTCACTGATAAGGCCTTTTTCCTTTGCTATCTCAAAAAGTGTGAGCTTATCTTCAGACACACCGTCTTCACTCTCCGCATCCTCATCAGACGATGAGGATGAAGAGCTGCTGTCGTTAGCTCCACTGCTGCTGCTGCTGTCATCATCGCTGTCACTACTCTGGCTGCTGTCTTCATCGCTGTCAGTACTGCTGTCACTGTTACTACTTTCGTCCAAAATTGGTGAAGCTCGTTTATTTTCTGCTTCCACCCGCTTCTTTTTTGTTGGTGCAGTAACACCAAGTATTGCTGCATCTTCGTCGTCGCTCTCCTCTCTGCGCCGCGGCACCACAGATTTCTTCGACACTGGCTGGACCAAAGGGACTTTTGGTAGTATGTAAGGCACCTTTATTGGTACTTTCACGGGCGGAAGAGCAGCTGGCGGCTTTGGGTTCTCCGATGTGGGTGGAACGTCCTGCGACCTTACCTCAGCCATTTTTCCCTTGTTATCTGCCATTTCATGAGGAAAGAAAACAAAACGAAGCAAGAAAGCAATGCAAGAACAGGCAAAATAATACAAAAGACTCATGCACACAAATATGGTTACATAAATCAGGATAAAAAGGAAGAGAAAAGGAAATCACGGAGTGGACTAGATAAGGATGTGAAGGCCCAGAATATAGGATGGGTGGGGAAGAAAGAGTTACCTTTTCCCATTTTCCTATAAATGCAAAAAAAAAACACTAATTCATTTTATATGAGGATAAAAAAAGTGAAAAAAAAAAATCAGTTGACATGCACTGCACTATATAAAGACTTCTTCACTCTCATCCACTTTTCCCACCCCATTTTTTAAAGATGTGTAACACATAGAGACCTTCTTTTACACATTACATAGCCACTGTGTTCAATAGGTCAAAGCGCAATGTCAACATCAAACCAATACAATCTTCAAAAAAAAAAAAAAAATGATTGGCAACAAGACGTCAAACAAAGTATAATATGCGCAAGACGCGAAAAACAGTATGGTCAAAACTCTCTTTTTCTCTGATTTGCATAAATATAAATATATAAACAATATAATATAATATAATATATATATACATATATATATAGGTATGCACAATGTTTGAATTTCCTAGTATAACTTAAAATATTAATTGCAAGAAAAGAAACGATTACTTGGAATTAGTAACACAAACCTAAATGTTTTAAATGAAATTCCCTTATATTATCTGGCAAAAAGAAAAAAAAAAATTATATATTTGATACGAAAAACAAGGAGAAACGAAGCTACTCATTAGTTCTGTTCAAACTAAAAAAAAAAAAAAACAATCCATGTAAATCAGCCAAAAAGAGCCAAAAAAAAAAAAATTTCACCTTTATTTGTGTACAAATAATCAACTGTTTGCAGGTTGGCTCAAGCAAATAAAGACAGAAAACAGACGGTTAGGGAGCATGTCGGTATTACCCCACAGAGAACAGATTTAAAAAATGACCAAATGGATTTTTACGGTACAGATTCACATCGCCTTGCAAGAAACTGACGAAACCGATCGTCTGCTTGAGATAGGTTTGTGTGTGTTACACGTGCTTCAACTTTCATTCGTCGTTCAATTTCGTCGCGTTTCTGTCGTTCCCGGGCTGCGCTGAGTCGCTCTTCCCATTGTAGTCGACGAAGATATATATCCTTGTTTCTTTTGCTTTCCTTTTCCACAAGATGATGCACAGCCTGCAACGATTTTTTAAGCTCTTGCTTAATAATTTTTTGCTCCCGTTCTCTATCATCATGTACCATACGCCGTCTCGCCTCCGAGGTCCGGAACTCACGCTCATCAATGCGCTCCAGCATGCGAATCTCCGTCTCTGTGGGTTCACGATTGCTGCTGATGAGGCGACTGTAGATCATCATAGCCCCGACGGATGTACTTCGGCCGTATGACTTGTCTCTCGTGAACCTGCCGATGGAAGTGTGACGGCTTCGCGATGGACTGGTCCTCCATGGGAGGCTGCTGCTGCGAGAGCCTCGTCCGTATGTAGTTGAATTGCGTGCGGGTGTGGTGCGAGGAGAGTTAGCCGCGTTCATTTGTTTTTGTTCCTCTTTCTCTCCCTGATCTCCCTTTGCATCTTCGCTTTTTGTATTCCCATCTGTCTTCACTTCATTTTCCTGTTCTTCGGTGACAATTTTTTCGCGTGTCCGTCGAGCACGTTCCAATGTAACTTTCCGTCGATTCTCGTAGGCCATCTGCCGTATCCGTGCAATGTTTTCTGGCACACCTGGTCCCATGAAATCGTTTGTTTCACGCGGTAACAGTTCAGTAGGATTTACGCCTTCAATCTGACATGCCTTTAAGCTTCTGGGACTGTTGAACACATCTTTGATTCTTGGTACTTGTTCAAAGTTATTCAGCGACACAAGTTCAGTGTGAGGATGTCCCTGCTGAGTATGTTGACTCTGTGAACAAGAAAACTGCGTATAGGATAGATCCCGGAAAGGGGGGCTGTGCGAATGATTATTTACACTTCCCGTTCGATCCAAAACCGGAGTTGGAACATTCGGTGAGTTTGAAGGAATCCTCTTGCTAGATGACGTTCTTACTGTTGCTGTCGAAGTCTCCTTTTGGCTTGTTTTTATCAAACTGCTTGTGGGAGCATCATTTATCACTGGTGGTGACGAAACCTGACAGGACGCGTCTGTCACATGCACATTACCTTTTCGGGTGGACATAACAGAAAGGTGGTATCTGATTGTAGTTCGTATACCTTAAAGGATATTAAAGAGAAGAGAAGAGAAGAGATGAAAAAAGACAAAAAAAAAAAGAAATCAAATGTTTTTTTTTCTTTCTTTAAGAGAAGTAAATACTAAGGCAATAAAAGGTTTGGAAAACATGAGTAATATCTCAGAAGCAATTGCTATTGTCCACACGCTGAATTCTCATGACTGACACTTTTCCATGTTCTCTTTTCCCGCAACAGATACACAACCAGCTTCCACCAACGAAGCATAATCAATAACGGAAACATTCTCATACCCCCAACGACGCAGAGCCATACAACTATTCACCCCTCGTTGCTGATTGGATGTTACAATAAAAAGTTCTGATTCTTCTTTTTGCTGTGGAAGAATTGGGCATGCAGCTCCAGAGAGTAAATCGTGATGGTGTAGTGCAACAGCACCAGGTACAGGGTATAATCTTCTCTCTGATGAATCACGTACATCAATCATTACAAGACCATTCTGAGAAGACAACTTCTGCTGCAATTTGCGAGAATCATGCAACGTCTGCACTCTACCAAAGATAGTCTCAGAAGAATATCCTGATGTAATATACGAGGGACCATAGCGCTTGTTGAGGTTTGATACCTTCCATGCAGTCTTTGGGATCCACTGAGCCATCGCTAGTGACTCTTTTCCTTCACAACAATAATACCAAAAAAAAAAGAAAGAAAATCAAAGAAACCACAAAAGAAGCGAAAAATGTAATGGTAATGTAAAAGAAACACAACCTGGTTGAATAAATCAAAGAAAAAAAAAAACAGTTGTAGCAACTAATAAAGTATCACACTTCTTCAGAGATTGTCATCACTTGCCTTTCCTTTGATGGATGTGACTAACAATTCTCACCAAGCAATAATGCACTTTGCGCATCCATCATTCGCTCATAATGGCGTACTTTGGCCTCAGCCTGATCTTTCTCTTTCTTTAGTTGTTTCAACTGTTCCTGGTAGGTTTGGGTTTGCAGCAATAATTGATCCACCAAGCCAAGTTCCTGACCCCGTGGTCCCATAGAATGTGGGAATGATGTTAAGAGCTCAACATTCCGCTTAAGCCGTGTTACCTCACAACGTAGTTGCCTCGTTTCAATTTCGTGAGCTACTTGTAGTGCCTCTAGTTTATCGTACATAGTTTCGCTAAGCATCTGAAGGCGCCTCGCGCAGAGACATTGACATTGCGATTTAACACAAGTGCGTTTCTCTCGTCCCAACACACAAGCCGACCCAAGAGGGTTATACACTTCATGATTCCTCTGCGAGTCATCTGCCAACACCATGAAGGCACGACAGAGCGACTTTGACCCATTGTAAGTTACCGGACCGCGTGGAACAGGTGGCTTTCTTTTTCCCTTACAACTGCATTCCATACGCAATTTTTTTTTTTTTTTCTTATTGCTCCACGTTACTCCTCTAATACAATAAGCCTATACCTATTGAATACCCCAATGCTACGAAGAAAAGGGATATACAAAAGAGAAATAGACAAGGAACACTATAGACAGAAGCATTTACTCGTAGATTGAAGCGAAAAAAAAAAAACAATAATAAATAAGAGATGAAGAAAACGCACAGTACGTCTTCCTTTCGCCACCCTCGTCAGTTTTATTCTTTTTCTTTTGTTCACTTTGCTATCTGTACCCCAGTAAGTGTTTCCTGAACACGATAAAAGCGCCACTTAATAAGCGCCGCCTGCGCTTCTAATAAATCGATCTCTCGCCCCGTTATATCCTTTTTTCGAAGGATATCATACTGTAGCAACACTGCCGAGAGGGATGTGGCAGCCACAGCGCCCACCAGAAATCCAACTGTTCGAGGGCCCATCCGCTTCTTCTAAATAAATAAACTTATATATCAACCAAAAAGAAGAGAAACAAAGCAAAAGGAAAAAAAAAGAATGTGTTCCTTAAAAACATAGGGGTCATTGGGAAAAGCAAACAATAATAAACACCAAGAGAGAGAGAGAGAGAGAGAGTAAAAAAAAAAAAAAAACATCAGTTATGGACATCCGTAAAAGGAAAAAAAAGACAACAACAACAACAACAACAACAACAACAACAACGAGAAATACTACCTTTTCCTCCCCCACAAAAAAACTTGGTACATCAACGAAAATAAAATAAAAATAAGAGAAGCGTTCAAAGAATCCTGCAACCCATCATCGCACATACAAAAGAAACTCAATCCGCTTCAATTGTTACTCTTCACTGTTTCTTCCCGCAGAACAATCCCCCGTAGACGGGGTTATAGCAATATAAGGGACGCCTCGAAGTAGTGTTAGTATTAGAGGTGTGACTTTGGGATTCATCAGTTTCTTTCAATTGTTCACGCTCCGCATACATTTCCATCAAACGCAAAATAAAGCCATCTGTTTGCTGCCCATCACGGGTTGGAGAAGCTATCACTTCAGCCGTAGTTGGTGCTTCTTCTTTTTCCATGATAAGTTTCGCAATTTGATTACATTGGTCTTTTGAAGAAACATCAATACCCTCACGAGCATAACGGCCAATATACTCAGGGTTCAACTGCAATGCAAGAAACACCAACTGTGCCGCAAACTCCGCTGCAGGGTGACCCTCCCTCTCATAAGTATCATATAATCTCAGAAATGAAAAGTAGTGCTCACAGCGACTCGGTTGTTGAGTTATAGTTCTTTCACATATTGATAGCGGCATCCTTGATTCGTTTGGTGAATGACATGGTGAAGAAACTTGTGATGAGAAAGTTGACATTTGACGATTGGATGTCGCATTAAGTATGGCTCGCTTAGAAGCTTTACGATCCAAACTTGTGGCATGCATCGTTATCTTTCGGAGAATTTCTACAACGGGTAAACTTCCATCATTCCACCGCTCATCTGGTGAAAATTTTTGAACCTCAAACGATGCCAATTCACTGACAGAGGGGGATTCACCATTTGCCTCCATATTGTCATAAAGATCTTGCGGCACTAGAGCATGAACAGCAGATGCGAGAGGTTTTATCCAAACTTTAGAGTATTCAGTTACCATTCTTAATCCATTTTCACTCAATAGGTTTCGAAGATTCGGCACAAGTCCACGCATTCCTCGTCGTTCTTCTTCACATGCTTCACGCAGCCATTCAGAAACCATAGATTGTGCTACAACGACGAATTGTTGACGTGGTCTCAAGACGAGCGCATTATCCGCCAAGACAACTAATGCCATCAATACAAACGGTACATCATTCATCGAAACTGCGCTCGCCGACGCCACTTTATCTAGGTTCCGAAGCAGGGAATCGCGTGCACGTGGTACTGTGCCCAATACAGTCTCAACCAATAACTCTCTTAAATATTGAGAATATGGTTGAGACCCCCCGTTAGCAGAAAGATCAATAAAACGATTTTCTTCCCTGTTCAGGAGATAGAGTAAAGCTGTTAGGCTTGCCGATTGCTGTGTTGTAATATCTCCATATACGAGAACAAGCGGATGATCAATACGTGCCAAAAATCTGTTCGTTACACCTGGATGAAGAAAACTCATACAAAGTACGGCTAGAAAAGTTACAATAACTTCATCATCCGTAAACATTAACATTGCTGGCTTTTCTCGCAACATCAGAAAGAGCATTTGTACAGAATCTGCTGCGTGAAGGGCATTATGGTATGCGTTCTCCTTGGAATAGCTTTCAAAAATGTTAGAAAGGAAATTAAGTAGTTTTTCTTCGTCCAACTGAGAACAGAAGGAGAAATTTGCAAGTACGCTGGTACATACTGAAAGAAATACTCTTTCTGGGTCCTGCATAACTTCCCCATTGAAGTCGATGACAGCATGACTGTTGAAATCAATGCTTTCCACCTCCTTTACATATTTAAGAGTTTGATGCATGATTCTGTTCATACTCGAGAAGGTTTCCGTTGGGTCCTGTAAGAGAGGTGTTTCGCGCACCAAATTAGATTTGATACTGAACCAATTCGTTGGATTGCTATCCAGTATACTAAAATTTTCCACCCTCAACTGATGGGAATCACCACCAAAGATAATGCTGCGAGCGGGGGCGTCACCATTAAAAAAAGCCTCTCCACAGCACCCATCATCTTTTTCTTGCAGTCCTAGGGGATTTTCATTTAAGCTTTCTTTGATTTCAATTAAAGAGAGCTTCTTCAGACCATGCGGCCGCCGCGAGATGTTTTCTTCGGGCATATGAAAATCTGTTTACTTTTCCCTTACCAGTACCTTTACTCAGCTTCCAAAAACAAAGAAAAGCAAAAGGAAAGCAGAAAAAAAAAATTTACACAAAGAAAGAAAAAAAAAAAAAATAGAATGCACATCACTCTTTTTTTTTTCCATTCTAACGAGAGGTTATGCTCATTTAGGAGTTTACGCAGCTGAGAGAAAAAGAGAAGACAGCAGGAACACGGAACAATGTCATCCCTCTTTCATTCCCACTTCTTTTCTTCCTTCCCTCCACCAGTACCAGCACCAGCACCTGTAGAGACTAACACAACCAACAACTCATATAATGACAACCATCTCTCAGATTGGCCGATGTCAGTATCCTTTTCCCTACAACCCTACTATTGCATTTTTCTATTTTCTTTGCTGGAGCTTTTGAGAAGGCAGGACGCACAGTTTGGCCTCATGACGACCTTGACGAGCGTGAGCTGCTGCGGCTGTACGACCGTCGTCGGTATCTGCGTTCCCTTGAGCGCTCGCGGCGTCGCCTGTCACTGCGACTGCGACTGCGACTGCGACTGCGATCTCGTCGTCTCTCGCTGTGATGCCTCCCGCGGCTGTCGGAGCGGCGTCGCCGTCTCTTATCGTTGTGGCCTCGGACGGCGGGTGGGTCGCGCTCGCGGCGGCGGGAGGTGGTGGTGGACGTCTCAACGACGAGGGCCCGCCCGCGGAACTCGCGGCCGTTGAACGCCTCCACAAAGGCCACCGCCTGCGAGGGGGTGATGGTGAGGAAAGCGAAGCCTGGCGGCCGGCGCGCGAGCCACGAGTCCTCAATGGTGTCCTCCATCGGCTTCAGGAACTCCAGCAGCTCCTCCTTCGTCGCCCGCTTGTCGATATTGCCAACGTACACGCGCGTCATGACACCGGGGAGACAGACGGCAGTGACCAAACCGCAAACACCTAATTAAAAGAAGAAAATATCACGGCAGAAACAAGAAGAGTTAAGGGAAAGAAAGGAAGTTATTAGGAAGAAAAAAAAAAAGGGGGGGACCACACGCTAAAAAAGGGAGAAGAGAACACCATTTGGATTCCGTAGACTATCAAAGATAAAAATAACAAAAAAAAGAAGTAAATACGGCCGCTAAAAAATGCCCCCCCAAAAAAAAACAGCTGGGTAAAAACACACGCACACAAGCGTGACAAAAAAGAAAAAATAATAATGACAACAACTGAGAAATAAATCAATATATAGAAAATAGAAAAATCAAAAAAAAAAAAAAAAATGCCCCAAACCTTCCTGTAGAAACCCCCCGATAAAAGAAAAATAAAACACCACCTCCTTCTCAAATACTACCTTTAGGAAGAAGAGTAGAATATGTTACCAAATTTTCTACTAAAAATATAATAACAAAAAACAGCCATTTCTCTGTGTGGAAATTAGATGTAAACCCCCTATATCATATTATATATATAAGTTTTTTTTTTTTTTCATTGTCAACTCTCCCTCTACTACTTTAGGCAGTTTTTCCCAAGTACCACATTTCATTCTCTTATTTTGTTTATTTTGGCATGGATTCACGTTTTGCAGCACGCCACATATAAGATCCAGAAATTTTACCCACAGATTTCCCGTGCAATATTATATCCGTATTAAAATCAATAGATGTCTCTTCTTTCCCAATTACACATCCCTTCAATGGAAGAACACCTATTCCACAACCTCGCTTCACTTCCCGCTTCTCTGCTGCATCAATTAAGATAAGGAGAATATTACATGTCTCAAGATACTCTTGAACTTGTGTAACAGATGCAATTAGGGGAAGTGCAGCCTTCCGCCATACCACTGTTGTTCCATCTATCTCCTGAGATGGAACAGAATCCACATTGGGAGCGAAACGCGCACGAAGGCGCAACGTTGGTTTTTTTAGAGTGTGATGGGTATAGTCTTTTAACGTAATATCATCAAACACAAACTCTGGCACGGGTTTCTGAGTCTTCATGAAGCATGACATTACTGGTCGAACACAACGGACAACAAATGTAGCCGAAACCGGTCTGTGCTCCGAGAGTTGCAAATCAGGATCGGAGTAGTAACCAGTACACTTTATCCATGCATTTGGCATACTTTTATACAAGACTCGGTCACAATAGCTTGGGGTATTCTTAAGAACATACTCTGAAGAACCAACGTTAAGACGATAAGTTGGGGCAAACGTTATAGTTGGTTCCACAAAACCATGTAGGATACCCTTGCTATTGCGTTGATTAATAAACTGATCGTGTGCCAGTAGTTCATCGTATTTTTTCGCTTGAATAAGTGATTCAGCTTTTTCTGCTTCAATTTCACATCGATAGTTAAAATCTCCAAAAAAGAACACGTGGTCAAATTGACTCGTAACATCTGCTTCAGGCAATCCAAGATGAAGATTTTCCACAATCTCCTCCAAAAGAGAGTTTCGCATACCACAATTTTCACTTCTTGCGGCCAGGTGGCACGTACAGAAACAGATAGAGGTCTCCAGGTACTGTATAGAAATACCAATACCACCTTTGTTTCCACATACAACCTTCTGTACAGTTCCCCGTGTGGATCCCTCAGTATTGGTTATCTTTAACAAATGCTTTTTCTTTGTTAAAACGATTAATAGTATATCCCAAATAAACATACTGGCAAGTGGAAGGTAACCATCACCCAGGTAATTCTGAATATAATCGAACCACTCATTTTCATGACGGCGATATGAAGCTTCTTGAACAGCTACAGCATAGATGTCATATTTACCCTTAGGCATCCATTGTTGAATATCCTCGCTATTCTTAGGAGGTCGATGACCGCCAAGGTTGAACGTACCACACCAAATAGAAATAGACTCTGTCAAATACTTTGAAGCATTGACACGACACTCACCTATTAACTGTCTCTTTACAGGTTTAGCGGTGACATCATAACAAATAACAGACATTGAATTAGAACCTGTTCCATCAATAGTCACATGTGAAGCGGTTTCATCTGCTTCTGCAAGATCAGGAGCATATACACGAATTGATGAACGAATGGCACTTGCCGTTTCATAAAAACGCTCCCTTTCGCTAGCAGAAACAAACTGCATATCATAGGAGTGAGAAGCATCAAAAAACATCATTCTTAACCGTGTATTATCAATTATATTTTTTTCTAATTGAATCAATTTGCTTGCAGCATGCTCTTTTCGAATGCGATTATTCTTTGCCAAGTTATAAAAGCACTGTGTAAAATGATCCACCACCCAAATACGTTTTTGACTAGTGTTGATTAAACTCGTGTCAGGTGTGTACTTCATAAGAGTAAAGAAACCCTTAAGATACTGCGGATTTGTTACTTCACTAAGCGGTATACGAATATCCTTGGTAGTTGACATAAGATCATTGACTTTACTCTGCGTGGCGTCCCACTCATCACCATCTTCATCCTTCCACTCCTCCTTATTCACAACGTCTTCAAGGGCCGCTCTGACATCATCGGCCAACTCGCCTTTAACAACCTCTGTGTCCTCCTCTCCAACATCACCCCCATACTCTTCTGTAGAGAAAATATTTTCCAGCGCACGTTGACGTTCCTCCGTATTCTCATGATACTTATTTTCAACACTTTCTTTACTATCATCTTTTTCGTAATCATCTTGTACCTCCCATTCAATGTCGATATCATCTTCGTTGGGAAACATTTTGGTATTCTCTTCTTCTTCAATAGCATTAAGATAAGCCTGTTCTTCTTCATCTGCGGCTTCATCAAAGGGAAGGTACTCTTCACCAGCTGCTTCAAGCTCTTCCATCGCTTCTTGTGCTAAATGCGCGGCTTCCTCTTCCAAACGATCCATTTCTTCCTTTTGGAGTGCCTCAAGTGCTTCATGCTCTGATCTTAACCTTTCTTCTTCTGTTGCACCAATGTAGAAATTTGTTGCATTCATCGCCCTTAGGAAATCCTGTTGGGTTATACTTTCAATAGCAGAATAATCTTTGCGATCGGCACGTATGGCATCTTCAATTACTCTGATTTCATCATCACTAGGACGTACTCCATCATTAAGTTGAGCCAAGAGATCACCCAATTCTGATAAATGAATTCGGCGGGCCTCTTGAGATCGATGTAAAAGCCACGCACGTCGGATCTGTCGTTGCTCATCACATAGTTGATGATCAAACCATTCTTTTCGCTTTTCTTCTTCACCTTGGGAAACAGGTTTATGTACTTTCATCCATTCTACCCTTAAAACTTGCTCAGAAGGTTTTGCAGACTTCCATTTATTTCCACCAGTGGTATAATCTTTAATCATCTCGGAAGATTTCCAGTCATTGGCGTAATACCAGCGTTTTCTACGCTCCAATTCAGTATAATCTGCCGGTGACTCCAAACCCATACTGAGCAAAGCTTCTTTCAAATTTCGTGCATTCCACATAGAACCCTTTTCATTCATTTGAAAATCTGATAGAACAACTGGATTCTGCCACCATTCATTTTCTCCAGTACCATCAAAGTAGTCTATCCGTTTCTTAACTTCTTCATCATTCTGCCATTCAGAAGATTTCACTGGATCACTTAAAAAAATTTCCAAGCTTGAACAGCGTAAAAAGGTGCTCTTCTGGCCATGAATCAGATAGTCATCACCTACTTTGCACCGCCACCAATTCTTTTCATACCATCGACATCTCATCATGTCTTTATGAAGTCCACACCACGTGCTTTTGGAATCCATCCCTGGGTCAATTGCCAGTTCCCATAGGGATGATGGCTTATAGTAGGCCATACGAACGTTAAGTTCTGTTTCAGAAACTGGTTTACCCTTTCCATTGGGTTCACTAGACGTCCACAATGTTCCCTTAAGACCGTTTTGATAATAATCTTTACGTGATTCAATTGACTTCCAAAAATTTGTAGTATAATAGGTTTCTCGTTCTTTTAATTCTTCCCCAGTACATTGTTCATTCATGCTAGTAGGAAAAACACGTCCTCTTATTTTCCATTCCTTCCCATTTTGACCGTTTTTGAGGTAATCAGATATATTTTTAGGGTCTTTCCAATGTTCCAGTTGCCGTTGGGTATTGTACTCACGTAGATAAGCTTCGTTTTTCCACCACATACCATTCACGGGTATTATACCAGCCATAATTTGTGTATCAGTTATTTCTTCTGCAGTATCAGTTGGAGTAGCCATGATCATATAATGATTGCGATTCTCCATGGTAGATGCAGAAGCAAGCATTCCGCTAACATTCTCAACTCCAGAAAGTGCCATTTGCGGGAAACGAGCTTTAATATATTTACTGTTATCACCATCAACCATGTAGTATGCAATAGAATCAGGAGATTTCCACCAGAAGAGAGAAAATTCTTCAAAACGTTTTTCACACTCAATACCTGCAGAAGCATAATAACATAAACGTCTGATGATATCATCCTCAGCAACCTTTACATCACCATTGGGAGCACTTTTTGTCCATAATTCTCCTTCAAATCCATTTTGCAAGAAATCCAGACGATATTTAGAGGCCTTCCACCAAAATTTGTTAAAGAATGTTTCTCTAAGATTTATTTCTTCTGGTTTTGCACGAAAATTCATGGCACACCCAGTGCTTGCGGAAGCAGCATCTCCTGCAGACCAAACTTTACCTTGGGCTCCATGTAATGCAAAATCCTCAAGAGAGTCATAGTGCACCCAAAACAGATCTCCCATAACTGCCACTCGTTTTAACTCTCGACTCAGAAGAACCTGTGGTACACGACTATCACGATATGGGTGATTTTTGAAGTAGTTACGTCTTTTTTCCTTTTCCGCTTCAGATGCTGCATACTGTTCATTCCTGCAAAGACCCATCACAGCCACAGCTGCTGTAGCTGCACCAAATAAACTACCTCCAAATCCATGTGTATTGTGATCATTACGAACTTCAGGAGACTTCCACCAATTAGCAGATGCATAACGGCAATCTGCCCAATACTTTTCTGATGAGCGAAGATAATAGGAAATACGTACAATTTCCTCCTCATGACTAATGGCTTCTCCGGAACCATTAAATTCGCTCTTGTTCCACAAATTGCCTTTTTTTCCATGAGTAAGAAAGTCCTCCTTGTAAATTGAAGCTCTCCAAAAAAGTGATTGAAGTACTTCTTCACGTCTCTGCAGTTCTTCAGGTGTTGCTTTGAATTTATCACCTAATGAACAAACAAACGCGGTGGCGTTAGCAGCAGTCCATTTTTTTCCTGTTGAACCATTAGTCCAATAATCTTCCACTCCTTCAGGGATAATCCAAAAAGGCTCAATTAAGGTAAGATAGTGACATGTTTCTCCATCTTCAATAGATAACGGATTTGATTCGTAAAAATCAACTCGTCTCTTTATTTCCTCTTCATCAGCTTTATATTCATTTTTATAACCGAGTTTTTCGAGAGCAACATACGCATTTGCAGCACTGACCATACAACCTAATTCTCCATTAGCATAGAAGTCAGCCCGAACCTCTGGTGCCTTCCACCAATTATCCTCCATACTCTTTCTCCACAATTCTTCAGGGTAACCACTGAGAATTTGTGAACGTAGAAGTAGTGTTTTTTCATCAACACGATCTCCTTTACCTTCTGCTTCACTCATCGTCCACAATTTCCCCCTTATACCATTTTGATGAAAGTCTTGAAGGCACTCCAGAGTTCTCCAAAAGTTATCATTATAGAAAGCCTGGCGATAATTTAGTTCCTCCTTTGATGCTGTATCCTTTTGTGCAAGACCGCAAGTACCGCTTGCCGAATTGTTAGCTCTCCACTTATTTCCATTTTCTCCACTATGAAAATAGTCTGAAATAATAGTAGGATCTTGCCACCAGTCAGATGCGGCGATAAATTCGCCAATATATTCGTTGTCTGCATTATACTCAACACTTCCAGTATCAAAAAAGAGCATTCGTGATGCTGCATCAATTGAAGTAGAAAAGTTTGGTTCTTCTAAAGCACGTGCATCATTGAAAGAAGCTACAGAAATATAGATACTTTTGTTTCCATGGAAAGCGTAATCCAACAAACCTGCTTGAGATTTCCACCATCCTGTTTGGTAATATTCATCCCGGAATAATATTTCATCAGGTGATGCAAAGAGACCTGTTGCTGGGGAAGTCGCATCTAATTCTGTTAAACGTTGGTATCCAATAACAGCACGTGAAAGAAAAGGTGGTTGAAAGTACTTTTCACGTTCTTTAAGTTCCTCAGCGGAGCATTTTCCTGTTTCTTCCGGAGTTGCCGCAGACCATTTTTTACCTTTTGCAGAAAAATCATACCAGTACTTTCGTTGACGCCACCAATATTTCAGATAAAAACTTTCTCGTATACCAAGCTCTTCTGCTGAAGCTTGATCTACATCACCCCTGTCCAAACTTGCAGAAATTGAATTTACAGCAGTCCATTTCTTACCAGCGGCACCATTTTCCCAGTAGTCTGATATTACATCAGGTTCTTTCCAAAATTCTGAAGGAAACGTTCGATTAGCTAGTACCCATTGAGAAAAAAAATAGGGACTTTTCCACCAATCATAATCTTTCGCAGCAGATGGATGGCAAGATTTCCAAATGGTACCCTTGTCAGTGAAAGCCATATAATCTCTGACATATTTACTTTGTTTCCAAAAATTTGCAGTGAAATATTCTACACGTTCTTTAAGAGCTAATGGTGAGGCTTTGTTTTTACCATCACCCTGCAATGATGCATTACGCCAAGCTGCTGTCCATATTAAGCCATTTTCCCCATTATCTACCCAATCTTGAATGCAACTTGAGCTTTTCCACCATTCGGTTTCACGACAACCAATTAGCCATTCTTCTCGACTTCGCAGACTAACATCGTCTGCGACCGCCGTTGAACCTGCCTCACTTGCTCTCCAAAGTTTACCTGCAGAACCATTTTTTTCATAGTCTTGAATATATTTTTCACTTTTCCACCAATACATCTTGAACCAAGCTTCTCTTCTTGAAATTTCCTCTGTAGTAGCAAAATCCTCAATACCACGTACAGCAGACTCTTCATTTAAATACTTCCACAACTTTCCACCCTTCTCAAAATCTGCTCGTATAGAAGGTTGTTTCCACCACTCCTGATCAGTGGCGGCTGCACCTGCATAATACAGTGCAGAACATTCTGCTGGGTTATCCCGTATGTGGTTAACATATATTTCGGATTTCCACCAATCACCATTTTTGTAGTAATCATCTCGTTCATATTTTTCTTCCACTGTACAGTGATCTTTACTCCCAAGTGTCAGAGCACACCATGTCTTCACAATACCTTTGGGACCATTGTCCTTGTACCACTGAACTCTGCGTTCAAGTTCCGCTTTAGGTGCTTTGCGGCGATTTCCCCGACGATTATACCCAGTTAATTCATCGGCAGCAGTCCACATACAACCCGAATCAGCATTTTCCAACCAATCCGTAATATAAGGCTCTTCCTTCCACCATTCTGCGTCTCGAGATGCCAACCAATTACGACGTTGGGCGTCCGTTTTCCACCAACATTGAACCCGATACCATTCTTCACGAACCTGAAGTTCTGCCTCAGGTGCTTTTAGAGAACCGCCTTCGACAACGCTGGTCCATTTTGAACCCTTAACACCATTTGTTTCAAAATCTTGGCGGTATTCATCTCGTTTCCACCATTCTGTATCTTGGACACTATTTGAATTATCAAACACAGATTGTTTAGAAGAAAAACGATCAAAAACTCCCAAAATATCAGTCAATTCTTCCGGTTTCATACTATTTATACCATTAGATTCATCTAAAGTGTTTTCTTTTTTTTCTGCAGCACGCCTCATACATTCCTCACGTCGACGACGTCGCTCAGCAATATTTTCTGCTCGCTTTTTCTCACGTTCTTCTTGCGATTTCCTTAATTCTGACATCATTTCTATATTCATCCGTTCAATATCCTTAAAGTACGCTATGGGATCCCTCCCACCTTCTGCCAAAACTTTCTTTCGACGTTTTTCGTTAACTTCCTCCGGGTCAATACCCTTTGCCTTAAGATGTTCTTTCTTCAACCAGGCCAGAATTTTTTCGGGATCTTCTTCCAATGCTAACATATCATACACCTTGGCGAGCTGACGTACCTTGATCTTCGCGAAAATATCAAGCTCTTCATCCGTTAAATTTCGTTGAATCTGTAGCAAAAGACGTTGAATGGGCTCGCCTAGGTCCGATAGGGACCGTCCAACAATTTCAGAAGACATTCTTCTTCTCTGTATTTTTTTTTAATTACTTTTTTTTTTTTTTTACGAACTTCGATAACAAAAAAACTACTAATTATGTCAGAGGGAAAGCAATGGTTCGTCCGATTTCAAGTAACCACCACAACCCCCACACAGAATATATATATAGATAAATTTCCCCGTTAGAGAATTCCCAAATAGCTTTTATCAGGAAAAAATGCCTACTATTTAATTGCCACTACACATAAAAACAAAAGACACAACACACCAAAATATAAACAGAAAAAGGAAAGAAAAAAACAAACAAAGAAAAAAAAAATCAGTACAACTAACGGAAATCAAAAAATATATATACAGGATATTTAAAAAAATACATACTATTATTTGACTACAACCCCTCACCAGCGTGCTAGTGACACTCTCTCGATTTCAAGTCAAAGAATTACAACCCACAGATTCAATAAAGACCACATTACTTATTTACGGTTTCATACCGCCTTGTATTTTGGGTTGGACAACATTCCCAGGAGAACAAGAAAAAAAAAAAAAAAAAACAGAAAAGAAGAGAAGAAAAACCAAAAATGGGTCTTCTTTCTTTTTTGGCTACCTGAAAAAAAAAATCAAAAAAAAAAAAAAAACACTCTCATCTATCACAAACGAAAAGGGAAACAGTTACAAAGAACAAGAAGTGCTACAATAAACATATTTTAACTCTCAGTTTGTGAGGAATGAGGAGCAGTGTAAGAAAGAAAGGAAGACAACCAATATAACGAAGTTTAACCATATGATTTTTCCCCATACACCGGCTGCATAACCTTTCCAACCACCACGAAGAAAAAAGAAATTCCCCTCTACTTGATCCACGTCATTTTCAGAGCAAACAGATTGGCGGTATTTATCAATTAAGATATAAATATAGTCACATATTAAATACCAGATGTAGTAAAGAAATGATAACATTCACCGCAGAACAGAAATACAAAATAAATACAGAGACCTTTGCTCTCATGTTCAGTCTTTTTAAATCTAACCAATACCACACCCGATCATTTAACCAGTTAAAACCTCACAAAAAAAAAAGGTCCCACCCACATCATTTCGAACATTCCACTTCAACAGAACCTGAAAGCATGCAATCTCCTCAAAGAAAAGAAAATAATCACAAAAAAGAAAGCAAAGAAAACGGAATAACAAATTCACCATAGCACCACCGCAAAAAAAAGGTAAGCTCTAACAATAATAAGACATTAATCTGCAACGACCACAAGGTTCTATTTAACGAGAAAAAAAAAAACCAATTCTCTAAACGAAAAAAAATCACTTTGGGTATAAAACAAAACAGAAAGGAATTACAAACTCACATGAAGAAACCAGATTACGCTTCCAAGAAGCACCGTTCCATGAAACTCAAACCCTAGCAGAAGAAAGCCACCTTCCGTACACTTGAAGGCAAAAAAAAAAAACAGCATAAACTAATCCCTCATTCGTCCACTAAAAGAAAAAACATGAGGAGAAACCCCCACAAAAACATGGCACTAGGCACTCAACGTTACAGAATGGGTTTGTCTTCGCATGTATCATCACAAAAGAGAAAAAAAAAACTTCTAAATACAATCTCCTCTTTGTAACTCATTTAAAAATATACCCATACACCTTCATTGATGGATCTTCCTCGCACAAAATTTAAAAATACCATAGCAAGTAATAAATTACTTTGTACATAGAAGCACGATTTCCATTTAACACATCCACCGCAGATCAAAAAACATTATGTCGCTAAAACACAAGAAAAAGCGTAACTTCTACTTAACAAACGTGGTAAAAAAAAAAAAAAAAAAACAGCATTATTTTACCACCCGAAGTTGTTCCCAAAGAGCAACCCGCTCAAATACGCCAAAGACTTCAAAAAATAAAAAAAAAAAAAA